TGGCCAACTCGCGAGGGGGTGGAGGCGATGCGGACATTAGTAAAATCGAGTTAAAAAAGTTATTTTAAGTCATGTCTATATCGCTGATGATATAGTCTGAGAGTTAAACTAAAAATAGTGTTTTTATGGTAGAAAATAATGAAACAAAGAATTGCAACAAAATAAAAGTCTCCATTCATATCGAGAATTGCATTTTTAACAACAGTTTTAATTCCAGAAACAAATATATAATTGAAATTCAAAGCGAATAATAGTGTCTCGCAATTGAAGTCGTCGTTGAAGTGGTTTTTTGGCAACAAATTGTTTGTTGGGATTAAATGGTGTGAAAATAATAGAAATAATAATGTGGTGTTTAAACCGCAACCGAAGTGTTAAATTCAAGTTAATTAAAACAGTGGTAATCGTATTGTTTGTGTTATCGGGCACTCAATTCTTCAATATATCGCTAACGTTCACGAGAGGCGTCTGGAGAGCGCTTCTCGGCGAAGACCGCATACCAGAGCCGGTGCCCAAAAAGAAGTCATTCTTCGGCATCGATGTCATCAACTTTGATAAGACAGGTTTGGATCAATTGAGTGATCCATTAAAATGCTAATAATATTGAAATTTCTAATCTATTTTGAAGGACCGGAGGGAGAGATCCCAAACTACATAATCCGCGGAGCGATGGCCGGCATTCTGGCCATCGCTCTGGCGGTGATCGGACTGACGGGCATTTGTAACGACAGTTTTTATTTGGTGTCGGCGTTCACTATAACGATGACCACAATTGTGGTATTGAGCGGTACTCTAGTCATGATATATGGCTCCAGATATGACGCTAACCTACCGATCATAGTCTGCGCCTCCATTTGTATCGTTATGATTGTGTTTGCGGTTGTCATCAGAAGAGCCAAACTCTTGTCCTATTAACTAAGTTTTGGTTTTCTTTGTTAACACATTATTTCAATCAAAATAAGTGACATTTCGTACAAAATTTGCTGTAAATTCGGTTCAATGCATAACAAATTAAATTGATTTTAATTGTCTGAATAAAACATTTTAAACATTTATTTTGGTGTTTTAATTTATAAATAATGTTATAATCAAGAGCAAATGTGTTTACGTATTTAAATTATAATGACATTAGTAAATTATACAAACAAACTTGTTCATATTCTCTATGTGATCTAGGGATCTAGATTCTTGATAAATATTAAGTTAAAATATAACATCTATTTTAATTATAGCAATTTGATGTACAATACACTTCTTACTGACATCTATTAGTTTGCGTTTAAAATATAAAAACATTGATAACGTTATTCCGAAACTAAATTCCTTTGAAGTAATGGATATTTATTATATTTTTGATAGAAATAACGGAATGATTAGGAATTTGTTGGCATTTAAATAAAAAATAAATCCATTTTGTATGCATTGGAGATTCAAATTATTGTTTTTATTTATTTATCTATTATTAGTATAGAAATGGTTTGAAAGACAGAAATTGAGTGCCAATTCTCGACAGGAAATGCTTATTCAGTATTTGATA